TTCTCTCTAGTTCACCTCGTATCACCCCGGGATACTTGCTAAGATCCGACGGAGCGTGGATGGAAACTGGGGAGGAATCCCTGGACCATCTTCTGAGCCGGCACTTTCCAGGCGCCACCGAGCAGCCACTGAACGAGCCACAGAAAAACTAATTTGGGCAATAGGATCCTTTAAGCCTTACAAATCTGCGGGTCCAGATGGTATTACACCGATTCAGCTGCAAATCCACATTTCAAACTGCATGCGCAAAATTTTTCCCAAAACTCTTAAAAAAAAAACTAAAATTTTTGCACAACGTTTGAAATGTGGATTTGTATGGGGTCTGTTATGGAATGAACTTTTGTTTATAAGAAAATAATTGAAATTAAATAATATAAAAGTAAATATTCATACTTGTCAATATGTGGCGGTCTTATAACTATGCAAAGTAGTGTAGTTTTTCTCAGAAGTGTTAGAATTTTTTTGAGTACACAGTTTTATAATCCATTCATTTTAAGTCAATAGTGTGTGGGCTAAAAAATAACGTTGATTTTTATTTTATTTTTTTGCCGAAAGTGGTTGCATTTTAAAAAGTAAGTAATTGAAGAAATTTTTGTTAGCTTATTATAAAAAATAATTACTTTTCTTGAAATATAATGACCTTAACTTGTAATTTAAATTTAGGATTTTATGAAAACATCGTGAATTGCCCTCCAGTAATCATGAATGGTAACGAAGACACCACACACAAGAGGCTTGAGCGCTGGAATTTATGTTCTCAACAAGGATGGAACATTACATAAATAAACCGAAGGAATCTCAGGAACAGATTAGACCAGCAGCATTTAACCCGAATCATAGAACTCTCATTCCCTCCGACAAAATCAATTGACCTTCGAAATCTTTCCCCAGAACCATCGGAAACCAGTCAATCTCGATTCCATAACACACTAAATTCACCATTGGTAATAGCAACACCTTTTTTTACCCAAAAATTTCTTTTTTAAACAATAAAGAGAAAATAATGCAGGCTCACAATCAAAGCAGAGTGCGGTGAAGTAATAAATCAGCTTTCTAGCTTTATTTTCTGACATTCGGCTGCCTTTTAGTCAAATTTTATAGGCAAATTTTCAAATTTCTTCTCGATCTAATTACTTCACCTGGTATAATTCCACCATGCATCAGAACAAAAGTATTCATTAAAAAAATAAATTGTCAAAATTATTTTTATGAACTCCAAAGTGACGTAGAAGACAATTTAAACAAAACTGATGCGACTCTTGAGTAAGAGTATATAAGTACTTGCATATAAAAAATTTTCCACATTAAATAAACTAAAGAAAAAATGGCCAAAACTTGTTAAAATGTCGCGCCTAATTTATACTTGGGTCATGTATGTCTTTATATTTAAGTTAAAAAACTTCATATAAAGTTGAATCGTCGGGAAATTACATTTTATCGTTCGGATACTTGTTAAAATTGAACATTTTTGAAATTTCATTTTATTAATTTTAAAAATGTTATATTTGCCAATAAAGTGGGCGCTATACATATATTAAGAATATCTACACTCTTACAAACATATAAGAATTATTTATAAATGATAAATGATTTACCCAAATACAGATAAAATTTGATCGAAAAAATAAAATTATAAATATTAGCTTTTTTATCAAAAAACATCTAAGATTCATTAAATAAATAGCGAAATAAATATCAATCCAAAAAAAATTATCCTCAAACGAGAGCGAGCCCTCAGCCAATATCACCGATCGCATCCAATTTTGTCCACATCCCATACGATTCCAAAGCATCACGGAATTTTGTCAAAATCACGAAAATTTGGCAATCTACCAGGCGAACAAGTTGCAGAGATTATAATGAAAAGTAATTTTAAAATTCAATATGTACTGTGTGTGCAAAGAAATACTAACGGACATATGTATGTATGTTCATAATGTATACAAACTTAATTGGCAAAATAGCAACCTCAGCACATTATTATACTAAAATTGATTGGGATAAAAAACTGCGTACTCGGTTTTTTCTATTAAATATTTAAAATTGCTCGATGGTGTAGTTTTAAAATTTTTGTTATTGTACGCATATCGGTGAGGGCTACACCTATTATTTTAGTAAATTGATTGCTCTGCTAAATGCGAACACAGGGCGTACTTGAAATTGACAGAATAAGCAACACACCCCACTTACTGCGAATAGTGACATCTATGGTGTAGTAGTAAGAAATAAACTTTCAATGTAGTTGTAAATTAGGGATAATACGGTATTTCGAACGATAGGAAGCACGACCGATTCGTCGGCAGAGGAGTACTTCAAAAATTAGTGCAACTTGAAATTATCTCGAAAACTTATCCATAGAAAAAAAAATTAACTCGATTTTCTAAATCAGCGATTGTGCATAGGAATTGAATAGGGACATCCGTGGAACAAAAAAATAACAAATTTGTGATCCAGTGTAAGTTTCGTGTTTTACGGGTATCCTTATCGGATACAAAAATTTCGGTTAGAAAGCGATTTGAAAACGATCCGAATTCCCATATTTTTCTCTAAGTCAGAAGATTAGATTACGAGTAAAGAAAATGTTGAGAATACAGCATTTTCTATAAAAATTGGACATGTAATATATGTATTCAATTGTATTCTTATGCTGAATTGTAATTGGTTTCCAAAGTACGTATAGCGTTTTTCAAATCATTCTCTTTTCACAGTTCTCTATTCTGATTTTCAATTCGAGAAATATTAGAGAACTTTATTAGAATTACAAATGTACTGCATGATTTAATAATTGAATCAATTACACTGTGCAAGAGCATTTTTGGGGCGCATTAATTCCAACGCAGGATGAAAGACCTAGACCCGCATAGGAAAATCTCAAAATCGTTTTGCATTCTTTGGTCAAATTTCTTTGCTACGGCCATTTTAAATATGCAATATTTTGCCTAAGTGTCTTTAGAATAAATGAAAAAAAGAGTTAAATACATATCGGAGAGAAATATGTATGCTGTCTGCAAACATATAGTAAAATTTTACGAAGAATAATTTTGTATAATGTTTTAACCCGCTATCTCCATCACGAAAGGGTCGTTTTGGCTCTTTTTTAGAAAGTCCGAATAAAATTGCATTTTGATGGGCGCTGTATGTATATAATTTCGAAATAAAATTGGGAAATTTTCACAAATAGAAGTGTGACTCTCCTGTTATTTTTTTAATTTTTAAGTTGCAAAGTTTGGTGTCGACTGCAACTCGTTAGAAATATGTGCTTGCAATATAAACTAAGTTATTAAGACTCGCGTGACTTGTTTTTGAAATTCTTATACTCGTGGCTTTTACAGCATACTGTGGCTGGTGCGTACCTAAAACTATAATCGGGCAACTTGCATAGTGTTCTGGAGCATAAAGGAAATCAATCTTTCTTTATTGTACAATATACTATTGGACTATGATCCTCGTGCAGCAATTTTTTATTTTTAAAAAGGTTTTAAAAAAGTTTCAGAGCGAAAAAGAAATAAGATAAACAAGAAAAAAACATAGTTAACACCCCAAGGCATTTTTTGTCAAGTCATCAGATCTCCCACGTTCCTTCGATTTTCGGAAATGAGGTGAGCTTGGGCTGTAAATGCTAGGACTTACCATTGTTTTTTTGGCAATTTATGTCGGACGATTTTTTTTTTTTTTTAATTGATGCACCTTCAACAAAAAAAAATTCCAAAAATCAGCGGTAAGTTCTAGATACTTAAAATTTGCACTTTGTTATACTTAAACTTGGTGGGCTACAAAGCTAAATACCAAAATTTTGTCTAAAGATGCTGATCAAGAAGTTAGATATTTTGGTCAAACTTTGCAGAATTTTCATAATTTTTGCACAAAGTCTGAAATTCGGATTTATATCGTGTTTGTTAGGCAACCAGCTATACTTCCATAAAAAGATAATAAACATTAAATAAACTATAGAAAAATAGCCGAAACTTACTAAAATGTCGCGTCTCAGTTTTTATTTGGTTCACTGTACATATGTGCATCTCGGTAACCTATTTATCAATTCGTAGCAAACTCAGTACAATTATTGACCTTGGCATAAAAAAGCTATATGTTGAAAAGATTCGAAATCAGATTAAAATTACGCCCACTTTCCAAAATATTAAAATAACATAATGAACAACTGTGCATATATATATATATTGTAAGTATGTGCACCTGTGGTAAGTCAAGTGACATTTTGACTAGTTTTGGCTATTTTGCTTTTGTTTATTTAATATTTATATTTTTTATATAAAAGTTTAGCATTTTACCTAACCAGCGCCACATAAATCCACATTTCAAACTTCGTACAAAAATTATGAAAATTCAACAAACTTTAACATTTGCACCCAAAAATTTCAAACTTTTTATTTAGAATTTTTAGAAATATTTTGGGCAAGGCACATTAAACAGGTAGTATCAGTAGAGCAAAAACAACATTTGCGTGTATTTTGTTGTTGCTTCTGGTATCGAAAGTGTCAACAACTGTTCTGAATTTTTTCTTCTAAATCAAAGCGTGCCATGTGAAATACAAAAAATTATAAAAAATAGAAAATTGAAATTGGAAAAAATAAAAATTGATGCAATTTTCTTTCCTAGTAAATTTGTTTGCTTCTCGAAGCATTGATCCATCCTTTGCAAGGTCCAGTAATCAGCGGTCGTGCTGCCGAGTTGGGCGAACGTTCCAAAAGCTGCTATTCAATCGCTTGTTTTGTATGGGAAAAGGTTTCACATGCAAATGGATTTTAACAATTCAGAATTTTTGTGAGAAAAAATTAAAAATATTTGACATTTTCGAGACCAAATAATTTGAAAATAAATCAAATCAGCTGCTCTACTGATACCACCTGTTCAATGTACCTTGATCTAATTCGCTTTTCGTTTATTGGGGAGGTTTTTAATTCTCTTCAAAAAGCATCTTCTCACTAAATATTACAGAAGAATTTAAGAAAAATAAAATTTTTAAAGCAAGCTACTGTTGTTATTTTGAAAGGATTTTTGGGAGTTAGGAACCAACTACTTCCTTGGCCACTCTCCAATTAAGCAGGTTGCCTTGTTTTATTAGAAATAATAATGCAATTATTTATACATATAGCATACAAAAGTATTTGTTTACAAAATTTATTATGAAAATACATACTTATGCATAGACTTTTACGCCTATTTTATCCTAATTATGTACAAACTTACATACATACTATATTAGCTACATACATATGTACATATGCACTTCTCTATACATAAATTAAGTATCGACGCATAAGCTTTGTGATTTGGTACACATGTATATATACGTACATAATTTCTGTTTCGAATTCGAGTCAGTAAGCATGCGCGCACTGTGCCGTTTGTGTAAGTAAATTATGGCTAGTAACAAAAGTCCATTTTTAACGGTCTCGTAATACCAAAGCCGGCGCAACTATTCATAAGTGCTTCTTTTTTTGATGGTAGCTCAGTTCGGCGGCTTGCAAAAGCATATTGGACATCGAGAAGCCTGTGTGTTCGGCTAATTGCCGAAGAAATCCATTGGGACGTTGCAACAACTCATAAGGGTGTCCGAGTTCCACCATCTGTCCAGCATCCATTACCAATACACGATCGCTGTCCATGACTGTGTGCAAGCGATGAGCAATGGTCAACACTGTGCACTTGGCGAATTTGGTGCGTATGGTTTTCTGAATTAATTTGTCGGTTCTGTTGGAAAAGAGAGTCAATATTGCAAAATATTGAAATATATTGCAAAACATGTTTAAGATTGATCGCCAATTTAAAAAATAACTTACTCAGGATCAACGTTAGCTGTCGCCTCGTCGAGTATAAGTATTTTATTATTCCTGAGAATGGCGCGTGCCAAGCACACCAATTGTCGTTGACCGACACTAAAGTTCGAACCACCGTCGTACATGCGGCAGGCGATGCCTCCAATCAACGTCGATACATGAGACCTCAATTCCACATCCTCCAAAGCCTTCCACACCTCCTCATCGCTGCGTTCCTCCATAGGATCCAAATTGTAGCGTAATGTGCCAGAAAACAGCACTGGGTCTTGAGGTATTATAGATATTTTGCTTCTCAAATCATGCAGGCCAAGGCTTTCGATATCAACACCATCCACCCGAATCACGCCCTCATTACAGGCCAAGCGAAATAGTGACTGGATAATGGACGACTTTCCCGCACCAGTGCGACCCACAATGCCAATCTTCTCCTGCGGTTCTATGGTAAAGTTCAGGCCCTTCAGCACGTAGGATTCCTTTGGAGAATAACGCAACTTCAAGTCCACAAACTCTATACGTCCTTCGCTAGGCCAATCGCCTTTCGGCTTCTTTTGTGGGTCTGTATGCAATGGCGGCTCGGCTGGCTGCTGTGTATACTCCAGTATACGTTCCACGCTAGTCATGTCATTTTCCAATTCCGCTGTCTGCCGCATGCCCCACTGGCACATGCCAATCATAGACATTGAATGCAGTATAGCCAAGCCAACATCGCCACTGTTGAATTCATTGCGCAACACCAGAAAACTAAAGGTCACAGCTGCTATGTAGAGGATGCACAAGAAGTCCGACCATAAGGCAAATGCGCGAGTGCAGCATATGAACAGGAACCAAGCGCATGTGTTGCCGTTCATGTAATCGTGAAATTCAGAGTCGAGCGCAGACTCAGCCTGCAGAGCGCGTATGGTGCTCAGTCCTTGAAAAGTCTGATTTGTTAAAGAATATATGGGACTGCGTGCTAAGGAAGTACAACAAAATATAAAAATTTTGGTAAACGCAGAACAGTGCAATCAGAATTTTAATAATTTTCCCTTTTAACAAGGGCACTTACTAATTGACTCTATACGTTTCACGCTACGGCTGGTATTTATGTAGATGTATCGGAATAAGAATAGACAGACAACGATAAATGCAGCTGGTACTAACAGCCAATAGTTGGCAATGGCAACAATTATAAGCACACCAGAAATATCAATAACGAACTAAAGGGAATAGAACCGCATCGAAAGATTGATCGATCAAAAAGTTTGCTCAAATAGCCAGAGATCCACTCACCGCTATACAATCCAACAAGGTATGTGGCACATCGGTATCGACCGTGCGTATATCCCTGGCAAAACGATTTAGAATCCTACCAGACGAATTAACATTGAAGAAATGCATGCTTGTGCGGGTAATTCCACGGAAAAGGCGATCGTGCAGTCTCAGCGATATGCGTAGACACATATTGAAGAACCCGAAAGTACGGAGGATGTAAACGATCATTGTGGAACCCAGTATGATGGCATAGAAAATAACGAGCTCCTGCCTGCGCGCTTCCTCTTCCTCCACTGTACGTTCCAATGTTCCATTTCCCAATGTTCCATTGCCCAAAGTTTCGTTGGTCATAAGAGTAGCATTTTTATCTATCCCTGCTGCTGTGGATTCATCAGCTATCGCCACTTTTTCTTCCCAAATGACCCTTTTAAATGCAAAGAATATAAACGTTACAAAAATTCATGCATACATAAATATGTGGATTAACTCTAACTCGACCACTTTAAAGCTTACTTACCACCTTGATAAGAAATAATCCACCCCGGTCAACATGAAGCGCGCGCATATAAACAATACGACTATTATGAAGAGGAATACAGGGCTTTCCAGTGACTTGAAGTATGACATATACACACTCAACTTCACCGAGCCCACCGCCTGTTGCTCCTGATTCACATCTTCGACGGGTATTTCATCAGGCCGCAGCAGCTGATGGTGATCCATGCTCTTTTCCGACTCACTGCGGGACATACGACTGTCAATGCTAATCGCATCTAGAGAATCTACCGGTTCAGCGCGAGTCTCATAGGTGGCTTGCATCAATAGAAACTGGCATTTTTCGTTTTTCTGCAGGTCCTGATAGCCGCCCTGCGCCTCAATGCGTCCCGAGTTCATAAGAACCAGCTGCTCTACGTCGAAAAGGTACTGCAGCTGATGTGTCACCAAAATTACGATCTTATCTGAAAGGAACTCAGTAATACAGCGTTCGAATATATGCTTGCCTACGTGTGTGTCAACTGCGGATAACGGATCGTCCAAAAGGTATATGTCAGCTTTATGATAAATCGCACGCGCCAGATTTACGCGCGCCTTTTGCCCTCCACTCAAGCTTACTCCGCGCTCTCCCACAATTGTTAAATCGCCATTGGGCATAAGCTCCAGATCGCGTTCCAAAGAGCATACTTTTATAACTTTCTTGTAGCGCCGTTCATTGTACGCATCCACGAACACAATGTTATCTCGTACAGTTCCTTCGAAAACCCATGGCTCTTGAGCCGCATAAGATATTTTCCCATTAATCACAATCTGCCCAGAATTTATTTTCACTTCGCCAAGCAATGCATTGAGTAATGTCGATTTCCCGGAACCCACAGGCCCAACTATTGCTACTAGAGCTTTTTCTCCGATTTTCACATTAAGATCCGAGAGCGCCTCATTACCCTTGCTATCCATGGGTTCGTCTGCATCCCATGTAGCGCTTACATTTCGTATATCGACGCCTTTTTGCTCGGCATGTGGATGTATTTCCCTGCCAGCCGATAAATCCAAGAAATTTTGTACAACACTGTTTCCATTCAGTTCCGGTTTTTCGTTGCAATCGTTATTATTTTTCTTTGCCGGAAACTTCTTATCTGCTTTGCGTGTGGGAGCTGCGGCAGCATCCCCGTCCTGTAGGAATTCTCTAACACGCTTGGCCGAAACCGATGCTTCAGAAACGAATGTTATCGCCAACGGCCAAAAGTGTACCATCGAATCATTGAGCATATTGAAATAGGAAGACACCGTGTAGACGCGCTTAGCCGTCAACGCATCGCCAAGATAGACGTAGGATACCAATGCAAGGAAGACAGATAGCGGTGATATCATCGAAGTGCAACCCAACGCAGCGTGTATATACGAAGTACCTTTTATGGCCTTGACTTCTTTAAGTCTTACATCCGCAATGAGTTTGGCAAACGACATTTCCCACGCATACATTTTGATCACTTGAATACCCTGAATAATTTCATTCATTAATTTAACACGCAAGTCCGTACGCTCGGCAGTTCTTTGTCGATAATAGGCAGCCTTCTTGCCAACATATGCTTGCAACGGAATAAAGCTCAGCATGAACGCCACCCCAATGACTGCCGATATGCCGATCTCTTGGTACATGAGATAGCCGATAATCAACGACTCAGTGGGTCCTTTCCACAGATCATGTAGAAAGGCTAGCGCCACATCGAAGCGCCCTACGTCGTTTGAAAGTATATTTATGGCGCGCCCGCGCAATCCATCGTTGCTGGCATTTTTCGAAATTTGCAAACATTTGCGATATATCAGACCCGATAAACCGAGTCTTATTTTAGTGCCTACTTGAAAAATGTAAAAAATGAATGGATGAAACGTAACTACAGGTATCACAGAGCACAGCACAATGCCAACAGCGAGTTTGTAGGCTTGCGTTTCGGTAGTAGTTGTCTGGCCCTCGGCAAAGTAGGCTACCAGACCGCCAAGCAATAGCGGTTGTATGGCTCTGAAAATGTTAAAAGTGCTAAAGTTAATTATCTATTTAATTTTAGTTGATGAGTGAGTGTGTATTTTACTAACTTGCAAATAGATTCAGTTATGGAAAAGAGAACACCAAGTGGCAAAAATACTGATCCATACGCACGTCCTATCACGCGCAAAATACTAGGCTTCTTACGCAGCCGCTCATCTTCCCAGAGCTTACTGAATTTGTCAGTAAGTCGTTCGCTGTCCAATGATTCACGATTTTGGTATAAATCTTCCTCCTTAAGGGGCCCATTCAGTCCCTGCCGAAAGATATCTCTCATCCACCTTTAAGAGAATTAAAATAAAATGCATTTAATAAAAATCATTACAATTGTAGAAAAGCAACATGGACCGAATTCGGTTCAGTGGGCAGACTAGTAACACTTAAATGGCTGACCTCAAGCAGAAATCTCAAGGAAAAGTGCTAATCATGAAATAAAAGCCCTAATTTCTACCAATTTAAACTCGTTTTTTTATTTTCAAAAACTTTCTGAAGAACCGTCCAGCCCATATTTAAATAGTTTGGGTTAAGTTAGCTTGGATTTTCTGATCCGTCAGATCTCTCATAGATAGTTGATGGCTTATGGTTCAAAGAAAGTTGAGACTTTAGCTAGAACATTAGTGATAATGCGAGCTTTAACAGCCTAAATAGCTGATTCGCGAACGTTCGAAAACTGGCCAGTATGTAGATGCTCTAACTGGTTACGTTTGGTTCACATGGTTTTTGTACTACAGACCACCATACCAGAGCACCATAGGTCTAACATGAACCAACTAAACAGATCACCCAGCACGGCAACCGTGTATTTGTAATTGCATTTGAGAAAAAAATAAATTCATAATTGATTACGTCATTTTTTAATCGGTTGTTTCATTCATACACATGGTTTCGTTCCTTTCCATTCACATGGCGGCGAAAAAATGACGTCATTGCAAAAAAAATTACTTTTTTCTCGCACGCCGTCCTGGGTGATCTTATTCGTTCGTTCATGGATTCAATGCGTATGTATCTAATAAATCATCGGAACCAGGGCTGCCAACTTAGCTCCAACCGTGCCATTTTTGGCCCTATTTTACATCAAATTGCACTTAATTTATTCAATTTCGCACGAAGTTCCACTTTTGTGTGTGTGTGCACTTTTGAAAAATAGTAATATTTCAATACATTATTCTTTTCCTCAACTAATATTTTTTAATTTTTAAAGGATATTCAACTGGTTTATCTTATTTTGGCATTGCACTTTCGTTTTAGAAATGTGGTTCTTATTTTATTGCTAAATGGGAAGGACTAAAAAGGATGGCACCTTTTTTGGTACTTTTATTTTCCTATTTGGCACCTTTTTATCCTCAATATGGCACCTCATAGCTAAGGATAGTTGGCAGCCCTGATCGGGCCCTCTGAGAGCACTCTTCCACGCGAGCAGTGGAGCAATATTTCCCGTCTCGGCCATTAAGTACCGCCGCCGAAGAAACAGTCGGATTCCAGCGAGTCCGAAAGAACAACTGGTACGATGGGGAGTGTCAAGAAGCTGCAGAGAAAAAAGGTGCCGCCTACGAGGCCACACTGCGATCGGGTGCAACGTGAGCCATGTTGGATCGTTGTAGGGAACTGAAAAGCGAAGCGAGACAGGCCGAAATACGTGAGTGCGAAGAGCTTGAAATGCTGGCCGACAGGAAAAACCCCCGAAAATTTTATCAGAGAGTGAGGCGACTAACTGAAGGTTTCAATACCAGGGCGAACTCCTATAAGAACAACCATTGCGACCTGGAGACAGATGTCCAAAACGTACTTAAGCTATGGAGGGAACACTTTTCCACCCCTTTGAATGGCAGCAGCACTGAAAGTAGTAGACATGACGAACCTGAGCCCCCGGTCGATGACGATGGAATCGATGTCCCATCGCCTGACTATGACGAGGCACGAATAGCGATTACGCGGCTGAAAAACAACAAAGCTGCTGGAGCTGACGGCTTGCCAGCCGAGATATTCAAGTACGGCGGCGAGGAGTTGATAAGGTGCAAACATCAACTCTCGGTCAGAATATGGTCAGATGAGCGCATGCCCGACGACTGGAATTTAAGTGTGCTCTGTCCACCTCGCCATACGCGCCAACTACCGCGGGATCAGCTTTTTAAGCATAGGTTATAAGGTCTTATCGAGCGTATTGTGTGAAAGACTGAAGCCCACCAATGGACTAATTGGACCTTATCAGTGTGGCTTGAGACCTGACAAATCCACCATAGATCAGGTATTAACAATACGACATAGCTTGGAAAAGACCAGTGTTGCCATTTTGGTGCTTTTGGTGCTAGATTTAGCTCTTTATTTTTCTATTTAGCTCCGCAAACTGGGTTTTAGCTCCTAGCTCTTTTTAGCTCTTGCACATTTATCTAGCACTTTTTTATCTCCAGAAAATTTTAGTTGTATTTGGTATATATAAGCCAAACCTTAAGCGTTGTCAAAATGGAAAATTTCGAGATGCAGTGTATCCACCATAAACTCTTGGATCTAGGTTAAAGAATTCAAAAATTAATTAAAAGAAAACACCTTTCTGATAGCGCGGATTTTGTTTTACCTTACTAATTTTACCTTTAAGGAGAGCTGGAGGTAAAATTTTCCAGAAAAAATTTGCGAAAAAATTATTCAATGCAATTATCTGAAATTTCAGACTTGAACAGTTTGTAAAGTATTTTTAGTTCACTGTTATAAGTGCCATAGCAACGAACCTTGCACCTTATTTTGGTTTTAAAAGATTTTTTCAGCACTTAAACTTATAAAAGGACTTGGCTACACCTTGCACTTCCAATTGGCGTCAGTTGGCACAGAAGAGACAGAGGAATGACTGGTGTTTTGGACTCGGCCAATATCGCTTAAGTGGTTACAGCGCCAATAAAGAAGAAGAAGAAGAAGTATGCGTATTATTGTTAAGCGAGCTTATCAAAAACCTCTACAATAAAGAATTGATGAACAATATTAAACACACTTCGTTTAAATTAAGGTATCGTTTTTTAACTGACCTCGAGCTCTGCTAAAATAATTCATTAAAAACTAGTAAACCCGCATGGCCCGCATGGCCTTCACAAAAAACTCCTTCTCGTGCAATATACATACATATATAATTAGTTAGATCGATACGGCTTTTCGAAAAGGTGGCAAGTCTAATCAACGATGTTTTCAAACTAAAGCTTTCATAAATCTCTTTCGATTGACACTCATATCGCAATATTTCATAAAACTTGTATGTAAGCTCACTAAATTCGACTATTTAAATAGCTGGAATCCTATTCAAAAGTATTTTCAAATTAAAATCTTCTAAAATTTGAATTTGATTTTGCAAACATGTGGCAACCTTTCTTCATTCATATCCCCTTTCCATTTATATCCATCGTTTAAAAATTCATCTTATTTTCTAAATATTTTGAACGTAACTTTTTAAACATGTGGCAATCCTCTTCAAACATTATAAATTCTCAAACTAAAGATATCTTATCAGTATTTCGTCTGACATCCATATTTTAATATTTGATATAATTTGTATTGAAGTTAATTAAATTCGACTTTTCAAATAAGTGGCAACCCTCTTTAAGCTAAAACCTTCCTAAATTTCCTTAGCGTGACATTGTGATAAATAGTATAATTAACTTATGAATTAGGTTTAAACGTGTGGCAACCACCTAAATATAGTTCAGAAATAAAGTATTTTCAAACCCATTTCCATTGATACCATTATTTGAATAATTCATTTAACTTAACACAGAATTTCATTTTAACTTTTTAAACGGGTAGCAACTCTCTTAAAATACCTCAAAAATACTCTTAATGTTAGAAGTAAAGATTTCTTAACACTTCTGTTTGACATGTTTTAACATTTCATTGTGTATAAGTTAACTCAATTCGCATTTTCAAACAGGTGGCAACCATGCTCAAAATATTTACAAACTTTCACCATCTTAGTCTTGCCATCTGGCGCCTAGGATATCTATTTCTATTACCTAATTCCCTTAATCGACCCCATCCTACAGTGAAGTTAAGATACAAAGCTTATTAAAACCATTTCGATTGATACCCATTTTGTAATAATCGGTTAAACTTTTTATATATTTTATACTTCACTTTTTAAAAGGTGGCAACTCTTTTCGAAAAAGTGTCTAAAGCCCTATTGCACATATACAGCCCGAGACCTTTAATTTGGCTTCTGACCTTTGAAAATTGAACAAAAGGTGTGGATCTGATGACATGGACAAAAAATTCCTTCGCGTGTTATATACATATAGATATATATATAGATGGATTTAGTTATGTTTACGTGCCATTAAAGCCAATTGGTCGCAATAAAGAAAAGTAGGTCAACTTTTTTGGCTCAAGTCAGACAAATGTCAAGCGTTTTTCGAAAGTCCTAATCAATGAAAGCTCTAAAATTGTTGCTCCCAAAATTTGGAGTTTATAATGGTTTTGTATTAAAAAACGGTACGTACACACATACTTACATAGGCAAATATGCATATGGGAGGTTCCATGGGCAACTGAACCTTAGAGTACAAAATTTTTTTTTTGTAAAAATAACAAATGTGAAGATAAGACATGTAGGTTTACAGGGCTGATAAGCTTTATTTGTTTGTTGAGGTGGACGCAGGGGAGAAGGGCGGAAGCGCGGACTCGCCCATTACCTTGTGGTCAGCTGATTAAGTTAACTGACATTTTGACCAGTTTTGGTTCTTTCTTTTGTTTATTAATGTTCAGAGTTTTGTTTTTATAAAAGTCTAGCACATACAGTTTTATAGCGTATTAAATTTAAGTAGGAAAAAGTGAAAATTTTTAATACATTTTTTGGCGGTGCTAGGCGTTTTCTTCTATATACAAGGCACTAAACTAAGATAAAACGTGAGTGAATTGAACCCCTACTTAGCTTCCTGTATTTTTTAATAACTAATATTTAATATGGATCACACTAAAAGCTCGCTTTCATATAAAAATTCGTACGTATCCCACCCGTGACAAATGTTGCCCCACTCGTGACAAAAGAAACAACTCAGATTTTTTCCATATAAACTAAGTAAAATGTAGAATTGTTCAGTACTTTATACATTCTTAAATTTAAACAAGAAAGAACAATTTTTTCGGTTCAAATGTCCCACTCGTGACGGTGGAATCGCCCATACGCATACATGCTTTACTGCCTTTTGAGTGAACGTACATACATATGTACATACTTACATATACGCGCAAGCATTTTCTCATCACCGTACTTAAATTAAACAAAGGTTGCATATTAACTCACAAAACC